GCAAGTGCTCCAACACAGACTGAAGGAGTGTGTGTGTGTGTGTGTGTGTGTGTGTGTGTGAGAGAGAGTGAGAGTGAGTGTCACCTGCTCGTGGTCCTCGTGGAGGGAAGCCAGGTCTCTCGCGCCGCTGATCTCTGGGTAATGACGACTGACCGTCCTGTTTGAGCTCCACCCGCGGCTGACACACAGACACACAGCTTTAGCATCACAGGCTTTCTGAGACTCCTGTGGAACTGCTTTACAACTGAAACCGAGTTTGTTTCATCATTTGTGCAGTTTGTTTATTTTCCTGCTTGTTCCTGTGAAGCTGCTTTGAATCAATCTGTATTGTAAAAAGTGCTGTAGAAATAAATCTGACTGGACTAGATGTTCATGCCGCTCTAACACAAATCCCTTCATCTAACAGCACAGAAGTCAAGGATTCACTAAACTGCACACTGCACCGTTACACATGAACACAAACCTTGTGACTACTGACCAGCGATTTTAATCATTTAGACACTTACATTCTCCATTAACATTTGGAATTAATTTGTATTTTTTTATTTCATTGTGAAGTATTAGTCATTTTGTTGTCTGTTTTAGTCCTTTATTTGTATTTTTTAAATCTGTAGTCTATATAGTTTGCATCAAGTTAAACTACAACAAAATGACAAATGTTTTCTTGACAACTAGCTGAATAAAATAAGTTTTTTTTGTACATTTTATTTCAGTTAATGTTTATTTTATTTGAAGAAATGTTTTTCATAGTTGTAGTTTTGGTTTCAGATAACTATAATAACCCTGCTACTGACTGAGAAGAAGGGCGTTTAAGGAACAGTTCATCCAGAAACGATCGTTCTGTCATCATTTCCAAACCTGTATGACTGACTTTCTTCTGTGAAACACAAAAGAACGCTGGAAGACAAACAACACTGGCTTTCACTGAACGGACAGGAGGTATTTCTGAAAGTCACACACTTTTGAAATGAGTGACCGAGCGTCACTGATGTGTGCAGAGGAAGCGCGAGACCGTGCTCTACCTGAACGCCGGCAGCTTTCACCACGTGAGCCGGAGGAAGATTCTTACTGGTCACCAGAGCCCAGGAGAACGCCTGCAGATGACCACATCATCGTCGTCATCATCATCATCATCACACGCTCCACATCAACACTGCACTCACGTACCTTCAGTGGCTCTGGGGTCTGAGGGGGCGGAGTCAGGGTGAGGCTGGGGGTGGAGCCTCTCTCCTCCTCCTCCTCTGGCTCCACCTCAGCCACCTGCAGTTCTGCTTCTGGGTTTAGCTCCGCCTCCGCCTCCTGACTGGCCTCAGGCTGGGGCTCTGGCTCCGCCTCAGGCTCCGCCTCCTCCTGCTGCTCCTCAACTCCATTACTGAACACAAACCGGAGCAGAGCATCAATAAAGCGGCTGAGCGCTCTGAAGCAGTGAGGAAGATCATCTGATGCTGGTACCTGACAGGCGGCGCCGGCGGCTCGTAGTAGGTGGTGCTGCTGGGACGGTCCGGGGCCGGTTCAGGGGAAGCCGGAGTCTCCACCTGCTCCTCCTCAACCTCCTCTTCTTCAGACTCTGATCAGACACACAACACACTCACACCAGTGCCAGGCTTTTCAAACCTAACTCAAGACCTTGAGAGCTCAAACTCTCATAAAATCTCAAAATAAACCCGGAATCTCAAAGTCTTTCCTCACATTCAACCGCAAAACAGGAGAACTGCGAGTTTAAATACTCTAGATATGTTTTATTCAAATCTGTGTCACGTTCTCATATCAACACGCATGGAGATACTGGACTTTGCTGTTACGATACTCTTATTTTGAAATATCTATGCTTTACTACTTCAGCTGCTCATTCAAAAAGATGAGATATCTGACAAAATATCCATCTTACATCCATCTACAACATATTATAATAGAAAAACCATAACATAAACCTCGTCAGTTCATCAGGGGTGCATCATAATCAGTCGTTAGCTATAAGTGTGCAACATTCACTGATTGCGAGCGGCTCTGAAATGCAATCCTGTTGAACACTGAAAGTGCAGCGCTCATTTATTTACTTCAATCAGAGCCTTTTGAAGTTGAATAATCACATATCGGTTTCACAATGACTCCGTTTTCCAAATTTAAGAGCTTGTAATATGCTAATTAAAGCTCGTGTAAAGATGCAGTGCAGACAGAATGACGTGGCTCTGATCCACCGGACCTCAGACCAGCACAGCATACAGCTGTAATCATGATCACGCATTAGACGGTCTGTGTACATTCACCTAAATAACACGTGTGCAGTGTAAACATGACTCGCGTGTCACAGGCGTGTTCAGAACCGTGTGTGTGTGTTTTAGTCAGTTAGTGGTGTGTGAGAGAGAGAGAGAGAGAGATCTGTAGTTTTACCTCCCAGCTCAGCCTCAGAGTCTCCAAACACCTCCTCTTCATAGCGGAAGATGTCATTGTGCACATAGAACTTATTGACAGCAGAACCCTGGTGAAAATCACACTTAGTATCGTGAAGGTGGCATTATATATATATATATATATATATATATGTATGAGAGAGACAAATTAAGAGCTGAATTAACATTGCTTTATACTCTGAAATGTAAAATAAATATTCAATGAAATGAATATAAAACATCAATTTGTAAATGCACCAGTGTGCAGGCATTTTTAGTGCTTTATATACATAAGATTAGATACAGTAAGAAAATGAACAAAGAAAAACAAACTGACAAATACAATAAAACAAAGATACAAATGAAATAAACAGTGCTTTAATTGTTCCATGGAGGTGTACTAACATTACTGTTCAGGTCAGTAATATATTTGATTAACACTGATGGCCCAGTCACTGCGCTCACTTTAACACAATATATATTGACACGCATCAGATTTTCTCCCAGCCGTTCACGTCCACTTAAGACATAAACCGTGTTTAAGTGAACACTCTCCAAGCGGGCCATTTGGACATATTTTGTGTATATTTGATGAACCGAAGCCCAAAGTGTAACTTGCTTGTCTACTGCGGTCCGTATTGGAGCGCACACATATCAGCCAGCGTCTCTTGCGCGGATTATTGTGCTTTCAATGTTTTATCAAACATGTCCTGCAATTTAGCATTTACATTTAGTCATTTTGCAGACACTTTTATCCAAAGCGACTTACAATTGGGGGATACATAAAGCGATTCTTCTTGAAGAGGCAAACAGACACAGGAAGTGCTTGTAATACCAAGTTTCTAGACATTGTTCAAATAAGTACAAGCTAGAAAGAGAAGGAATAAATAAAGAGAGAGAATTTTTATATTTTTTATAATGATGATGATGAAGTCAAGTAGCTTCGAAAGAGATGAGTTTTCAGCTGTCGCTTGAAAATTGTCAGGGATTCAGCATTCCGGATAGGGGTGGGAAGATCGTTCCACCAGCCAGGAACGGTGAACGAGAATGTTCTGGAAAGTGATTTTGAGCCTCTCTGTGATGGTACCACGAGGCCATCACAACAGCAACAGTAAAGACGGCATTTTACAACAATCACCGGTTGTTCGGATTCTGACGTTAGGTTTGGGTTTTAGGGAGGAACGAATGTTAAGGGAAGGAAGCTGCGCTATATATCTTCTTTTTTATAATCCTTAGAAGCCTAAATCTGGGGGTTGCTCAATGGGGATATTAAAGGTCCCATGACATGCTGCTTTTTGGATATGATGTCCATTGTAATATGGACATATGTTGTTTGAATGAAAACCATTTTAAAGGGTTCATCGGATGCCCATTTTCCACAAGTTGATATGATTCTTTGGGGTCTTAATGAAAAGTCTGTAGCATAGTTTGGTTAAAATATCTCAATGGTAGTGTAAAAAACACCTTTTTTACCGTCAAAAACAGCGGCTCAGATGTCGGGAGAAAATGAGAACTACTATGTTCACCATTACATCCAACAACAGAACACCTCAATCGCTTAGGAGTCATTCTTCTCTACATCTGCTCCGGCGGTGAAACAATGGCGGACTGATGACAGTCACTCAGGCAGG